TCCTGTTGGATACATTTACAAAAAATGTTGAATACGTGCTACGTGACCACCACTGCCTTTGAAATCTGACAATCTGCATTTTGCTCGATGGAATTGTTCTAAAAATAGCAATTTTTGAAAAATATAAGGTTTCTCAAAACACATTACTGTAACGCACAAAAGTATGCTATTTCATGTTGCCATGAGACAATAGCTCTATGATTTTACATAATAACACAATGAACATTGTCATGTGATTCATGACCATCTTTTTCAAAAATCATAAGTAGGCTTCTACTTTAAGTGGCATGAAGACTTCAACATGCCACACCCAGTTTTCACTGATTATATACATTCACTTTTCCCTAAACTTGGATTCTATTTGTAAAACTGTCAAACACACGTGTTTTTTTATGCATTATATTTCTATTCATGTAATTTGTATAGTGGTCCCATCTGAATCTAAAAAAGAAATTATTTCTTGTCCTGAGTTGTTAAATGAAAAGTGATTGACTACAAATCTAAGATCAATTAGTAAAAATTTCTAAGTTTACTGAAAATGTCCTTTTTTTTCTTCTTTGTCCGTTATGAACTTTGCTAATATTTCAGGATAACATTAAAAAGCAAATTGGTTCTGAAAAAAGTGATTTCATTTTTTTTTAAACAAACAATTCAGTTTTACTTCACAATCATATGAAATACTTTTGCATATCAATATAGTCAGAAATTTACCCTATTTCCTAATATGTGTATTTAATTTTGTGATTTCATTTAAAAAAAATATATTTTGCTGGGGTTAACTTGCTTAAATTCAGTGCAATATACATAAAATAAGTGATATTAAAATACAGCTGATCATAGAAATATCTCTCCATGTACTTTCCATTGACTTGATAATAGAATAAGAGTTGTATTTCAACTTTGCATAACACTTCCCACCGATTATAGTGATTACTGTGAAATGTTTTATTTTCATTGACATAATTTATAGTCAATATTTTAATGTTTTGAGCATATTCACGGTGTTTTAATTTCACAAATTTGTCAATATGTTCACAGAGATTTAATTTAGTGGATTTTACTTGTTAGCGAAAATAGTGAAATTAAAACCTAGTGAATTTTTAATGCTTTTACAGTTTCAATAAAAAAAAAAAATCAGTTGGTTTGACTATAAATCATGAAAAATTGGAGTACTGATTTTGTGAAAGCATTAATTTTCACTACCAGTTCTTTCTTTTCATCACAAAATAGTCCCATTTATGGTCTGCACATTCCTTTCCTTCAGAAGATAGGGACAAAATAGACAATTTTTTTTAGTAAACTGAAAATTTACCTATTTTGTCGTTAGAGTTCATTTCCAGAAATAGTGCAAAAATTTTCATTTTTGTATTCACTCTGGGCTACTTAAATTTCTGGATTTGAGTCTATAAGATTCTTCTGCAAATCCTGCAAATTTAGGACTATATTTTTAGTCTCCATCCTTTACGACTAAAACATTTAAAATCATTATCAGTTATTTTTTTTTTTTTTAGCTCCGCTGTCGACTTTGCGAGCGGAGCTTATCATATGAGTGATTGTCCGTCG